CCGTTGTCAAATTAGTGAGCAAATTAGCTAAATTGCAGCCCCAATACTTCCTAGACTTGCTGCAATCTTTCATTTAGGAGTGTCCTCACCTTCAGTACTGCCACACCATCTGACAACTTGGCGAGTCGTTCACTGAACTTTTCTTTTTCATATTCTGATGTAGATTCTTCAATATCATCTTTAATCTGTTGTACCCTCCTCTCCAATGCAGCGGCATCCCCTTTACCCTAATTGGACAATAATCACAGATGCATATCATTTGTCAACTGAGAAATGATGAATTTTCACGATTGATAAAATGCATATCATAATAACTAACAAGCTGCACTGATCAATAAACAAGATAAATGGGCAATATTTGGTAATAATACAAATCTGTAGACACCAACAGATAATTTACCGACACCGAGATAATTTACCGACACCGAGATAATTTACCGACACCGAGATAATTTACCGACACCGAGATAATTTACCGACACCGAGATAATTTACCTTTAGTAGTAAAGTATCATCTTTTGTAATGACAACTTCACCGACGACACCAAAATCTTGCATTTGCACTTCCTCGATTTTGAGATCCAATCCTTCCTGTCCGAACACCATACCACCAGTGGCTATGGCCATATCATGCATCTGATTTTTTCTGTTGTCACCAAATCCAGGTGCTTTGACAGCTGCTACTTGAAGACCAACTTTCAGCCTGTGTAAGATTTAAATGAATAAAGAATATAAAACATTTCACTAATATCATCAAGAGTGACAAGACAATATGTTGATGGATGAAATGCCATAAATAATATACTGTAGAATACTTTATTTTCGCTTGGAATTTATTTTCGCTGAAGGGATGATTCCGTGAAAATAAAATCCTGCGAATATACTTTTTTTCCTATATTTCACATTAAACTCATCAAAAATCAGTGAAAAATTCCATACAAAATGCCCGAAAAGCCTTTTCAGCGAAAATAAAGTATTCCACAGTACCTTATCAATAGTATTTAGCCAGTTGATACTTGTGAGACTGATCTGCTGAAAGTGGATACAAAGGGACTTTTTTTTGACCTAAACCAAACAATTTTACTGT